GAAATTTGCCTGTACAACTCCAGACTTATGCAGGGAAAAGGTTTGATTCAAATGTATGCATGATGGAGATGAAAGAGCTAAGTTGATAGGGCATAACTTCAAAGTATAATTCTCTGATATCACATTTGTACCAGTTAATAGAGCATGATCACTCTGCTGTGGACAGTGCAGGTTTATTCATACCCACTAAACTGCTGTCCATCAGCTGCCACTGAACTTGAGATAGAGCACTTTTGTGCCATTTTTGTAAATAATTTCAAAAGCCTCTCTGTTTTGTGATAAGCTTTGCAGTACTAATATGATAGCCATTTTGCACTACTCAGAATTCAATAGGAGCAGCACAGCCCCACAGGATGATCATAGGAGCACAGAACCAATCACATGAGTGACTGAAATAAACATTCTTATAGAAACAATTATCACGGAGAAGTATGGCCAGTTTCTGACATAGTCATGGGCAATGAGACTTGAACCTACCAATCTGATCCCAAAATAAAACCCCAGGCACTCATCTGAATCTTCACAAATGACACTCCCTTATGGAAGTCTAAAAAGAAGATTGTGACTTACTTCTTTTCAAAAAGTGTGACTATGGCATGCCCTTGAAACTGATCTTTCATTGCACAAAGATACACGACATCTGTCTGAGCTAAATGACTGAGAAACTTTAAGAAAGGCTGCTCAGAACATTGCTGATGCTGCATGACACACAGAAATTATTGCAATCACTTTCTGGTAGAACACTTCACTACAGGTGCCTTACTATACAGCCTACAGTCAGACACGGTATTACGAGACATCACAAATGTTTTCTTTGAAGGTCACTGATTTGTCAAGCCTATCAGACACCTCAGACCCTAGAACACAATTATGATGTGGAACCATAAAATGGGTGGCATTACTGCCTCTAGAGCTGGGTCAGGGAGATGGCTCTATACTGAAACTGGGAAGTACAAACATGTTAAGAAATGTAATGAAGATACAATTGTAACAGTTCTGTCTTCTGGAATATAAAGCCACGTACAATTCAACTGATGTTCCGAGGAACATGTTGCTTTCATTTTCAGGGTTGTAGAATAAGCCAAAGAAGAACCAGCATGAAGTAATTAACTCTTTCATGTGCTGCTTTGTGCTAGTTTCTTGTTTGCTTATTCTTTGACCCTGAAGATGGAGACAACATGTTCCTTCAAAGCAATCATTGGCTTTCAATGGGCTATAATATATCATCTACCAGAAAAGAGAACTCTTCATAACCACATCTGTGAGCAGCCCAAATCCCACAAAGATATCATTGTTAGATTAATCATCTCTCAAAACTTTTGGTACCAGAGTCCATGTATTTTCATGTAGATGTATACAATTGTCTTGTGTCATTCTGTGAAGCAAATCCTGCTACAGGGTACACTGTCTACCTACTTAAAACTTGTCAAACATTTTTTACATGCTATGGGGGTCCCTTCATTGCTTTGTGTCCTGGAAATTTCATTTTGCTTTGTGCCAATACACTCAGACACTTACGTTGATTCCATTTCATAATCTTTGCCACTGCCCTTCTTGTGTTGGTTTCGCTTGCAGCGGCAGAACATGAACAGAAGCCCAGCAAACAATACAAACACCACACATGACACAATGATGGCTATCAGCATAGGTGTGTTGATGGCTGCAGCCTCCTTGATATATGATGCACCTACTGGAATAAAGGTTACTCATTTTCATATCACAGATTTCAGTAACTGTTTCAAGGAAGTGGGTTATATTACTGCCTTCAACTATAGTTCTATGGAACAAATGAGGTGTATAAATTCATGAAAGGTTCCTTAACGTTTTTTGGATCAACAGAATTTAAGGCAATCAGAAACAGGTTTTAATTTTGCACATAAAAATAAGAGTGTGCATTCAGTTATCAGAAATCAGAAATATATTTTCAGTTTAAATAGAGTGGATAAGTGTGTTCTCAGTTGCAGTCTACATAGTTTCCAAACATGTTATTCATGATTTTTCCATACCTCATTACCCCTGAGGTTTATTTACTGCAGATACAAATCTACTGCTGCAAACATAATCACACTTCAGATATCATATCATATACATTCAGATTCTTTTTTAACATTTCATTACATATTCACCACACTGAAAAATGTTCCAAGTGACACCTATAGTTTGTATTTTATGTCTTCTGCCACCATTTTGATCAATATTTTTCTAGAAAATCAATTGAGCTCTACATGTATTTTGAGCTTCTTTTCAACTTCCCTACATTGTTTAGTATAGATCAATTCCAAAGTTTCAGAGATATCACATGCAGGCATGCGGATATGACCTCCCAATAAAGAATTTACTTCATGCATTTCATACGAGCAACACATAACAAATACCAATTTAATTATGGAACAAACATGTAATTCCCACAAGTTATTTAGTGAACTTTGGGTAAGCTGCTGAAATTCTGAGCCAGATGTCTCACACTTGTGACCATCAAAATTCATTGCAGAATATTCTGGATACTGTTGCCTTCTTCAACTCAGCAAAAGGTATTTGTGACTTAATGTTACATAAGAAACTATTAATAGGTTAGTACTTACTATCTGCATCCGTATAGTCACTACAGTGATCTTGTTCTGCACGAAGACACAATTTCACTCGGACCCGGGGATTGGCCTGATGGGTTGCCATTGCAGGCCTTTCTACTGGGCCATCATCATCTCCCAGGGAACGGCCCACTGATGTCTGCTGACCACCATGCCACACTAGTGACATAAGAGTGGCTTCCTTCCGAGTAGCAGCGGGTCCTGTTGGTATAGGAATTGTCTCCACCAGTCTCCAGGAAGTGGGATTATCACTGTTGTCCACTGAAGTCTCCACAAGAGCGACTAATTGCAGACATGTTGCACCAACGTTCACTGACAATGTGTGTGATGTGGGGTCAAATGTCACATGCTGAGGCTCAGGGATACGATCCACTTTTGTGAGAACAGGAAGTTCATCTGAATAGTTGCTGTGGCCTTTTGTGTTGATTGCTTTTACCTACAGAAAATACAGTACGTTATGCGCTACAACAGAGGGAACCATTAAGTGGGGGACACAAAGCACTGTGATGCTACAACATTCTTACAAGAACAAAATATAATACTAGCCTGAATCTACCCATTTCACTGGGTTCTGTGATTAACTGCAAAGCTCTGGATATCCTGAGTTAACATACTGTGGCATATCACTCCACCCAGGAATTCAATTCTTCAATATTCACACTCATTCTTTCAAGTTTTCCACAACAATCATGCCACCACTGTTTCTGTAATCTTCTGATAAATATACTACATAACTGTGCATAAATATTAATTTGAACAGTAGGATATTTATTACTGCAAGCATGCATTACTTCTTAACATCTGTCACTAATACAGCTGCAAAATGAGGGTTTCAAGACACACTCTTAGTTATTTTACTGATTTCTCAGCTGTACATGTTATTTGATGTCAAATGGATGGATTACTGTGAATGGTTAATTGAAAAAGATGTGGACAAAATCGGCCGTGGCCTATTTTAAAGTATCATTACTGTCTCGGCATTCAACTGGGTATGTGAAAGAAAACCATGGAAGACTTCAGTCACAACTGCTAGTAACCTGCTGAAATTTGATCCCTGTATGAGTACTTCCCAAATACAAATGCAGAGATTTACTGTTATACGATTTGTTAGTAATTGCCATATGATGTTAGGAAAGGCACTGGGATGGTTTACGGTTCTTTTTCCAGAAGATGTGGTATGATACTATGCCTTATTCAATCTCACTTCAAATGAAATCACCTTGAAAACATATGTGTGATGCTGCTCGAGAGATGTCACGTTGCAGGGATTATTCCTTTGGCAGTCAAACTCCTGCCAACCCTCTGCATTGCTTCTTCTGGGCAGAAGGGCTACAGCCCCATAACAATCAGTAGACATCAATTCATCTCCAGCTGACGCCAGCATACGGCGATATGACACAAAAAACTTCGTGTTTTGATGTCCTCCATCAAAGCCAGGCTTCCACTGAAGAGTGACATAGCTGTGCCCAATTTCTGTTGCATTGATGGAAGATGGGCGTTCTGGTGGTCCCTTGGGTTGCAGGTGAATGCCTGTTCTTATGGTACCCAGACTGTTGGCAACTCGGCAAGTATAAAGACCATAATCTGCTTCACGGATATTTGATATCTTGAGAATGCTTGTGTATATGTCACCACTCTCAGTAGTCATGTTAAGTTCGTAATGTCCCTCATTGCTTGTAAGGAGAGGTGCCGTATTTGTGCCGTAGTTCCACTGGAACTCAGGTCGAGGATATGCCTGCACTCGGCAAACCACCTCAGCTGTCTCCCGCAAATCAGAAGCTACTTTGTTGTACTGATGGAGAACAATTGGCTCATCTGAAAAATAATAAATCATTGCTTTGGATGAGACTCAAGAGAAGGCAAGGGAAGTAAACAAAAAGCTAGAGGCACAAAATTTAATGTGATTCTTTCCATGTTGCAGATTGTCAGATTTCTAAAGATAAATGCATGCCTAATTACACATACTTGAAATGATAAATTTCTTATTCTTCACAAATATTTCAGATCCTATGTCAGATTGTCATCTGGTAGACACAACTGTAACAGGATTTTCATTATGACATTTTAAAATTACAGCGGAGATTTTAGTTATGATTTTCATATCAAGAACATGTCAGAATTTGATGGCAAGAAGCGAAAGAAAATATATTTCGTGTAATTTAAATAATGAAATTCTCTGAACCAAATATGAATATTACTTAAAAGTGTTTATTTGTAAGCTTTCTCTGATTTCTTACTCTCCTCTTTTAATGCTTAAGTCAAAACATTAAAACTGAAATAAAAATGTTGTTTACTTGTTCTGATGTTACTGTCAATTATATTTTAGCTTCTTCTTTGTTTTCTGAATATTATCTATGCACGAAATATCCGTACATCATACCGAATTTAAGCTTCAAAAGTAGACCGCCAAAAGAAAACAGAGGTTCTTTTGTCCTATGTATATACAGACAGGAAAGTAAACAGGATTTATTCAAGGTATATAAACAAACACAGGAACTCTAATGGAGCAATTAGTTATGGACATATTCATGCATTTTTTGGGTGTTGTTCACTTGGCAGATATAACTAAATGTGACTGAAGTAAATTGAGTCACTTCAGTCATCAGTATTCAGTTAGTCTTCCCATAAGACTCTTTAGAAGAAATGTTGTCTACAGCACAAGGGTGACTTTCTGACAGTACTGCTGAGGGTGATTCTAAGTTCATAGTTCTGGTCTTCCATTTGAAATGTGGGATGACAAATGTATCTGAAGGGTTTTGATCCACTGATCCATCTATAGCGGAAATGGCGCACACAGAAACATTACGTTATTCTAAAGTTATTTCTTGTAACTGACCAACTGCTCTTATCATGACAATTTATTTTTAATTCATTAGCACACGCATTTCGGCTTCTCAGCCATTTCCAGATGTGTAGAAGTTCAATTACAAAAAAACAATCCTAATGATACACATCACAGACATGATTTCAATTACAGATATTTCTTTTTCTAATTTAGATGTAATGAAGTGGATTACTATAACAAAGCTCTAGAATAATTTTCTAACTTTACATTCTGTTCTTAAATTACACAAACACTAACATCAAAATTATAATACCAGAACTTAAAACCCTTGAGCATATCAATCTTATCAGTAAGAAAATAATCAACATAAAAGACTCACGTTCAATACGAAGATGCATGCTGGATTCTGCTTTTTTGACTTCATTCTCAAAGGCACAGGAGTACAGTCCACGGTCAGCAGGCAGAAGCTGATTGCCTTGAGGCCGAGAATTCCCCAAGAATCGCAATGTGCTCTGAACAGTGAAAACTGAATTGCGTCCTTCAGACTCATCTGTAGAAATATCATACAATTTGGGGTCGTTGATAATCTCATGCCCATCCTTCAGCCACCTTATGGATGGCTTTGGTTTGCCTTGAGCTCCACAAGTAGCACTGAACTCAGAGTCCCCTACCCTGTAAAGAGAGTTAGATGTCAATCTCTGGAGCACTGCTATTCATCTGGTGCTGACAATGTGAGTAAATAAAGAGGGTCAATAAGGGGAACATGTATAGTGTAAACTTGAGCCATATTCAGTTTAATAATTTAAAAATTTATTTTTCTTTAGCCTTTCATATTTTGTTTTGGTCTTGGTACCTGGAAACATTGCAATCTCTCACCATTCTGATTCTTGTTATTTATTTTGACTTGGCATTCATGGTTAAATTATGCTGCTTATAACTATGGATATAGACCAACATGTTATTCTATATTGAAATTGGAGGCATTTATGTTTATATCAAATCTTCTATCAGTTCCCAGATCTCATAATTTTTTAAATATCTAATTAAATCCAGCCTTTGTCAGTGTATGCTGGCAATTATCGTAGGCTGCATACTGCCATTATTTAATACAATCTTCTACTTCTATATTAATTGCAATATTAGCTTTAGTTGACCGCCTCTGTGGTCTGGTGGTTAGAGTTCCTGGCTACAGATCCAGAGGTCACGGGTTCGATTCCCCACGCTACCAGATTTTCTGAGAAGTAGTGGGTCTGGAATGGGGTCCACTCAGCCTTGTGAGGATAACTGAGGAGCTATTTCAAGGAAATAGAGGCTCCAGTCTAGAAAACCGAAATGAGTGGCCCCTGGGATTTGTTGCACTGACCATGCAGCACCCTCTATCTGCTAAAGTTGGCACCAACTTCGCCGGCAAGCGGCAGTCACTCGGTCAGTATAGTTGGCTTGCGGACTAAAGCTACAGAGTTTGTTCTGTTTTATTAGCTGGAGTTTTAATTACAACTTGTCAAATAATTTAAATAATGAAATATAAAGTCTTAAACAATCTTTATTGGTTTACTTGCATAACTCAACTGTCATGGTGATTCCAGTATTCCTTATTTCCTAACAGAGACCTGATATGTACTTGTATTCTTTCCTCTTTAACTCAACTTCTGATAGGCAAGATGAGTCTTTTAACTGGTTCATATGATCGTACTGATTCAGTATTACAGAGTGCACCAATATAGTGACTCAGAGTCATTTATAAATGAGTAATTAACCCTTTCACTGCTAGTATGTTAAGTAACTCTCAGTACCCTCTGTGCAGAATTATTTTTGAATAAATCTTTTATAAATAATTTAAGTGAAAAGTATGAAAATTTGTGATAAAATATAACTAATCTTACTTCAGACAGAGAACAGGCATCAGAAGTTGCAAAAATGTTAAATTATTCAGTATTTTTCACAGGAGAAAAATCCATTTAAATCAGGGTTGTCCAAGATGGCCAAAAAGTACATAATTCACTATCCTAGTCTTATCACTATGTCCCATGTTGACCAAAGTCCACAACTTTATTTAAAACTATTATGGAAAGCACTGCGCACTATACGAAGCCATTTTTACTAGCCCTGTGAAATACCTGCTCCACATGACCACAGAGCGCATGCCTCGCTGTGCAGATGCAGCCATTGAAATGAATGATGCTTCATTATGTTCCCAAGAGATGACTATGCACCCGCCAAGTTTGAATGAGATGGGGGGGGGGAAAGAGGTGAGATTTGAAACTCTAAATTTGCAACACGGGTTTTGTCGACAGCAGCAGTGTAAGGGTTAATCATTCAGCACACTAAACCTATAGAACCTTAACTTTAGATATAATAACTAGAGATATAGATAACTATAGAGCCATAACTTTAGATGGCTGCTGAGGAGGCTGAGGAGTGAGTGACTTTTCTCATATGACTGAGTTATTTAATGAATGAATGACAGAAATTCATGAAGGCATGTAGCAGGTTGACTAGTGACAAAATGTCTAAAATGTCTAAAATGTCTAAAATCATGCCCTGGAACTCCAAAATGAAAGGTACAACCAAGCTTACTGCATTGCATAGAATACACATGTGATTAAAGCAGTAGAACCACACACACAACAAAGAGTATGCCTGCTGTGAATACCAGGGTCTAGGTGCATTCAGCAGCACACAGGGATAAACAATGAAGGAGGCCAGAGCCCATGGTGGGTTAGTGGTATACCTACTATCCAGAAGAGTAGGCAACATACCAAATGCTGCTTTGTATTAAGGAGGTTTTGATCCAGAGACCAGCTATACTGACACAGGTTTTTCATTCTCTCCAGGATATTACATCAAAGTAGGCTACAACACCCTCCTTCTATATCCTTTCTAATTCATTGTGCAACAATTATTCTCTCATTCTAAGCTATGTAGTCAGAGCCACTGATAATGTTGTTGAAACAAGCCATAAATAATTATATGTATAAAGACACACAAGATGAGCTTCTGTTAGTTATTTTATTTGAATCATCTTACTAAACAAAACTGAACATTTGAATTAATTTAACCTTGATTCCCTCCAGCTGGTTGGGTATCAGATCCTTGAATATTAAAGGTTTCAAGCTGCTGAATTACTGATGATGAGTTATTCATCTGGATGACTATGTCATCTACACTGAATGACTCATTCACTCACTTATCTACTCACTACATATCTGTACACTCTGCTACATAGTGACAAGAGCTAGTTTAGATAATGGGACTTACTGGAGTATATACCTGTCCCCTTTATTGGAGGATACAGACATTTTTACATTTTACTTAATGAATCAAAGGACAGAATGTTATTGCATTCATGGTTTGCTTATATAGGCTTACCGTATAACACATATGTATATCTTTTTTCATTCAAGGCATTTTGTTACCATGCGAGGAGTTAAGTGAACATTCCTGAAAAGCAAGATTCTGAACATACATAGAGATATTTTCTTCTTTGTGACACCCAGAATGCTTCTGGAAATCATTTCACCTCCTACCAAGTAGTTACTAGATTACCTTTCATATGGTAGAGGTGAGAGGTAATGCAGTAAGAGAATGGGTCTGGCCACAAAATACTATATACAGCCAAGATCAACATGTGGATCAAGATCTTCATAACTTTCTAAAGCACGTGTGGAGGTTAGCCATGACTATACTCGTAATAAACACTCTTGTTTGGTTATATTACTTTTTATTAGTTGATATGCTGTTCTGGAGTTGTGGTCATCATATTTCAATGTCAGTACTTAAATTTAAAATTTCAAAATTTTCAGTATTTCCCCGAATTTATTTGCCAAACATGATTTCTGCCTCACCTGAAACTTCAGAATTGTGCAGTTAATGATCAGTACTGACCCAAGAAATATATTTTAGGATATATATTACATTTTATTAGTTGATATGCTGTTCTGGAGTTGTGGTCATAATATTTCAATGTCAGTACTTAAATTTAAAATTTCAAAATTTTCAGTATTTCCCCGAATTTATTTGCCAAACATGATTTCTGCCTCACCTGAAACTTCAGAATTGTGCAGTTAATGATCAGTACTGACCCAAGAAATATATTTTAGGATATATATGGATGACTTTCAATACTGTTTTCTTTTTCAGGTAACCTATGAAGTTTGAATTGAGCTCCTTGTGATGTAAGGTTTGTATGGGGGTGATACAGACATGAATGAAAATATCTTGAAAACTGTAATGAAATATCACAAGTACATTTTCAGATAAAACATGCAGTCAAGGCACAACCTGCCCCGTATGTGTTCATTGCATGCAAACTATGCATACGACAGACTATACCTGCGTGTGACATGAGGCTGCAGCTTTGCCAGGAACCTGGGTGGCTGATGAACTATCAGGCTGACAGATGCTGGATCACCATGCCCCATCTCATTGGTAGCTTGGCACTGGTATTTTCCTTCACTACCAAGATGTGCTGAAGGAATGGTGTACTTCTGTCCTGTTGCCAGTACTGTGGCTGGGGCTGAATTACTGGACCCTGACAACTGATCACCATCCCTCCACCAGCGATACTGGGGTGCTGGCCATCCAGGAGGGTTGGCAGAACATGTCAGCGTTATACCTGTTCCTTCTGCAGCCACTGGCTTATTGGGAGAGATGTGGGCACGCCCAGGTTTATGTCGGACAAGGATGGTAATTGAAGCATTGCCTATTTTCTCCATTCGTCTCCTTGGTTGGGATGATGGATTCAGGATGTTGATTGCACGACACGTGTAAGATCCGGCTGTTTCTGAGGACACTCGCTCAATTCTGAGAACACTTCCTGTCTGACGGAATCCTGGATGTCCTTCTCGCAGCCACTCAACAGTGATGGGGGATGGGTTTGCTGACACATTGCAACGGACAACCAAGGTCTCCCCATCTTCTGCTTCCTTGTGATTCACAACACCAGCACCAGCTTCAATTGTCACAATTGGGGGATACAGCACATCGAGGAGAATTTCTGCCTCTCCTGCTTGTCCGAGTCCATTGTCAGCTGTGCAGGTGTACTTGCCAGCATCGTCAAGTGTCACTCGGTGAATGGTGTGTGTGAAGGCGGTCGCGATAAATCGACCATTACGCATCCAACGCACTTTGTTCACTTTGGGTTTGGCGTCCACAGTGCACTGCAGGTTGGCTGTTGCATCGCGTTCGACACGCAGTGGGTTCTCGGGACCCACCTCCACACGTGGGAAATCTGTAGGGATAAAAACCCATATATACCATGAGAAAACATTCAATATTCAATGCAGTCTTCTGATGAGGGTGTGGTGTTCAGTTCACCAACATGCTTGAGCTAGCTGCAATGATGGGAACACAGAGAAATGGAGGGGGGGGGAGGGAATAGAAAATTATTAAATAATGAGGGTTCTCAAACTGTATTATTTATAACCAGCACCATTATTGTAATTAACACAAAAGACTCTACTGTCATATTACACAACACAGCAGGCCAAAAGACAAAAAAATTGATTTTCCCACAATTCTGGATGGAAACTCGGGGGCACGAGTAGTGCAGCTGGTTGAGTCACTGTGCTACAAGACGGAAGGTCGCGGGTTCGAGACCCGAGGAGGTGGATTTTTCCAATTTACCTAATCCTTCCAGCCACACTATGGCCCTGGGGTCGACTCAGCCTCTAACAGAAATGAGTACAGCAATCTTCCTGGGCAGGTAAAGGGCGACCGGCGCATAAGGCTGACAACCTTACCGCCATCTGTGAGCCGACTGTCTAGAAAATGTGGGATCCTCAACGTCTCACAATCCTATGGTCCTCCATTGCCTGTTACAGGGATACCTTTACTTTTTTTTTTAATATATACTACTCACAAAATTTAAAATCTTATTTCACAAACGAAATAGATATTTTATATATTTTCTTCCTGTCTTCCTTGCTTGTAATTTACAATGCATTTATTTCCACTGTTTCTAAGAAACATACACATCGTAGGTTTACTGCTGACGCAGAATAGCTGTATGACAATAAAATCAATTGTTACGCCCTCTTGTTTCCGTTCCCCTCTCTGAGGAAGGAAAAATGGGGTAAATAAAATCCAAGGCAATAATTTACAACCCACAAGGTTCAAACTGTTCAAACATTTATCAAGTTGCTTTGGAATACAAATACGTTACCTAAACTTACACCATATACGAATAGCAAGAAAGGGCAACACGCAAACATCTGCTGAAATTATCCTTTTAAAGCATGGTGGTTAATATATATGCCACTTGATTTAAAAAAGCTGTGCATTTTCGTGCACAGTGCAATCATATTTTTCGCATGATTCTCGGGAGAAACGATTACTTTCTTAAACAGTATTAACCGGCTGATCTTTGCAATGTAGATGCGGCATACTTTCTATGAGAGTGGAACTGAGTTTCTAGGTAATCAGATGAGCTCCAGACGTCAAAGAGTAAATATTATCAAAATCTACAGAGGTTCTTATGCATTAACCTTTTATGAAAGGGGTGATGGACAGATGTTTTGACCCTTTACATGGCGAACGTAGGGCGGTAATATTTTCAAAGTGGTTTCATACCAAAACACATATCGCATCTATGTTTCTAAGACTGGCCGGTTATTCGCGTTTAGGGAAACAATCGCCCTTCCCGGTTTAAGAATCAAGAAGATTTCTCTCTCTCTACACACGCACGCATGAGCGCACACATGTACACACGAGATCCCTACACACTAACGCCCATCAGTTTAACATTAAAGCATGCGGTACACATACTTACCACAGAGACAGACAGGATTAAGATATGTGAAGAGGTTCTTCCCATGCACGACGGTATTCAATGAAGTTACATGTACTGTCACATTTTTCACTTGGTGCCAAGTGTTTATTTCAGCTTGACGATTTCGGTAAGGAACAGATATGTAATGTTCAAAGTACATATAGCGTTTGGAAACGCTGTAATTTAATAGGCAATGTGTTCTCTAATTCGTGTATCATAAACACGTATATCAAGAAAGAAGAAAGAAACTCCGTGATTTTAGTCCGCAAGCGAACTATACCGACTTAGCGACCGCCGCTTGTTGGCGAAATTAGTGCCAACGTTAGCGGATAGAGGGTGTTGGGTGGTCAGCGCAACGAATTCCCACGGCCGTTAATTTCGTTTTTTTTTACAGACCGGAGCCGCTATTTCCTTGAAATAGCTCCTCAATTATCCTCACGAGACTGAATGGACCCCGTTCCAGACCCACTACTTCTCAGAAAAAATCTAGTAGCCCCGAGAATCGAACCCGGGACCTCTGGATCTGTAGTCAGAAACGTTGAAAACTAGACTACAGAGTAGTTAATTACGTTTATTTTATGTGCTAAATATTAATAAAATATATCTTAAAATGTATTTAGGCATTCGTTTCAAGTTGTGATTCGTTTCTATTATGGAGCGAAATTATAATCTATTCATGAACTGGTGTAAAAAGATAATTTATGCACCAGATTTGATCAAAATCCATCGGGAGCAGAATTTTCGATGAGTACGGTCAGATGGATATAGCTAAACTAATGTGCATTTGTGCTGTGTAGCTAAATGCTAAATTATGCATAGGTTTAATACAGTTTTATCCTTCAGCTGTTTATTATATATATAACACTTGTTAAGCAAAGCGAGAAATTCGAACGATAGCCTATAATTTCCAGACCGGCGAATCTTTTGCGCAGTTTACGATTAGAGATACAGCAGATGATATTTTGACAACGTTCTAATTAATTGAATTAAGTATATACGTGTATAAATCGTTTCTGCACTACACTGATACAACTCTGATACAGTCATTTCTTTCGTACAATGAAGTCTCACCTTAACTCGTTCTTATAAATTTGGTATCTATTTTATACTCTATCTCAGCGATATATTTTAATTTATTAAAGGAATACTGAACTATCAGTTGCTCAAGAGAAGTGTGAAAAGTGTTCCTTTAGCTGATCAAAAAGTCCTCCATGCCAAATTTTACGAACCAAGCCAAGTTTTCAGGAACCGATTGGCGTCCTTTTCCTCTTGACACAAAGAGGGGCTCAAAATTAACTACGATTTTGAGCAGCTACATTCAGCCCTAATTCTTATGACTAAATGAGCCCAGATTTAAAACCAATTCTGAAACATAAATTCCTGAAGCCATCTAGGATAATAGCTATAAAAATAAAACGCAGATAAATGATGTAGGAACGTAACCAACATATTCAACTATTTTTTTATTAAATTTTTATTTTACAATCTACTCAATATACATAAATAGAGTAATTAGTAAAAGGGATGGGTGTGTGTAATATTGAAGCAGGTATCATCCTCCGATGATTCTCTTGTGCTTATCTAATGAGATCCTCTGGCCACATTCTGTCTAGTCTTCTTTCTATTGCTGATCGGTTGAAGAGGTTTCTCATTAGTTGGTTGTTGTTTTGAGTGGTCCGGTTTCTGTGTTCCTCCGCGTATGCTCTGATGACTTCTGTTACATATGGTATGCTTAGATCATTGTGTAAGGTAGCGTTTGATACGTACCAGGGAGCATTAACTAGTTTTCTTAGCGTTCTGGATTGGAACGTTTGGAGAATTTTTGTGTTTGAAGGTTTGCTGCATCCTCATAACCCTATCCCGTAGGTCCAGATTAGTTTGATTATTGTTTTGTATAGGATTATTTTATTTTAAAGAGATATCTGTGATTTTTTGTCGATTAGCCAATTCATATTTCTGGTTTTGAGCTCTAGTTGTCTTCTCTTAGCTTTTATACGCGTTCTCCACGTTAGGTATTCAGCTTATGTGATGAAATTCCTAACCACAGTGAAGAAAAAGCTACAAAGTTGACAAAACCCCAATGACAACGGCTAGAAGGTACATTTCTTTAAGGATCCATAACTTCTAAATATATTCTGTATGGAAGGGCACTAATTTGAAATAGATTACCCTGTTTAAAAAAGAAAGTCAAAGTTATTTAAAACAATACGGCGACCCATGGAATTTGTTGTGAAGAAGGCAAGTTGAGATACGAGGCACAGTACACGCAGCACAAGAAGAAGTTAAGATCTGGGTCCTCTTCAATTATTCTACCTCTTTCACCGAAGCACACTTTTAATGTACAGTCTTCAAATGGGCTACGTCCTACTTATCTTTAGCATTTCTCTGTTCGCACTGTTGGTATGCCTTTTATGGCGATCTGCATAAATGAACGGCTTGAGCAGCAAGACGTGGTGTTATGACACAAATATTTAGTACAACGGCGTAACGAGAACTGTATTTATACGTGTAACATATTTCGTATTCCTACGAAGTACCGTACAAATACTGATGACTGCTCGTTTATAGGCTCTATATTTTTGTAGAGGCAGATGATGAAAGCGTGAGGTGAAAATGATGAAGCAGAAGGCGCAAAAATATGGCTATAATGAGAACGCCCCTGGGGTCCATCAAAGATTCTGGAAACTTTACCGAACAGTCGAATGGATACTAGGACTTAGTGCTCCAGTATGGTCAAAAGTAACCACTGAACAGAACCAAGTATGCATGGAGTCCATATCTTGGCGTATTTAACGACGCTGTATCAATCAGAGGTTACAAGCAAGCAGAGCATGCATGCATTCATTGAAATCATTAAATGCAAATTTTTAAAATGAAAATGAAATTCATTTACCATCAACTGTAGGAATAATGCATAAATGAATTGGAAACCTGGTCTATTTGAAAATGTCCCTGGTCCCATAAAAAAAGGTAAAATGTATGGGAAAGTTGTCCCTGTACTTAACTAATTGAATACTAGGCTATGAAAAGGTATAGCGGAGTGGATGAATGCATCCATGTATATTTGGCCTCGGCACTAGTTGAAGGTGAGTGGTCAGCTTCACGTCCAGGCAGCTTTAACCCTGGTGTCCATTCGATAGGAGGCTGGGTGGGCACTAGAACCGGTCTGAACCACGTGGAGGAAAAACAATCTCGTCCTTACTCCGACCCCTAGGCCGTCTAGCCCGTGGCCACTGGCAATGCCGACAGCACTGTCCCGGCTCTCAAGGGTACAAATCATATAAATTTACCTATAATACACGTGAGGCGTTTCACGAATAAGGGAAGGGGGAAAAGAATAATAAAATGGCGACTATGTTGCTTGAATTCTTATTTCTCTTGTCCATAAGTTTCTACTTTGTTCCGGCAAAGCAAGACGGAAGGGAATAGAGAGGAAGACAGAATTTCGGGTTTACGATCCA